AAAATATAATAAAATTTAAAAAATAAAGATAATATGTATATATGTATGTCTATGAGCATATTTCCTGCATGTATGTAAGTGCACCCCTGTCGTGCAGTACCCTCAGAGGTCAGAAGAGGGTGACAAATCTCCTGGAACTGGTATTACTGTGGTTGTTAGCCACCCCTGCAAGAGCAGCCAGTGCACTTAACTGCTGAGCTGTCTCCAGCTCAAGTTGAAGGTTTCTCTTGTCTCCTACTCTTCAGGTCATCCCCAAAATTGTCTCCCAGGAAAATACCAATAAATGAACACGGTGTTGAAGATGAAGATTTTTCTCCAAGACCAATTCCTAGTCCACACCCAGTGAGTCAGAAGGTATCACTCATAATGAATTCACCTTTTTATTTCCAACTCAGTTTTTATATTACAGTACTTAAGTATTACCTAAAGCTTACATAGATATCATTCTAGCTATCTATAGCTATATAGTTATATCTTTGTAGGACTATATGATTATATCTCACAAATGTGTATAATTGAGCAACACGTATGTTCACATGTATAAAATACAAACATAAGCATAAGAAAACTGAGACCTCAATTGTGTAGGTGTTTGTGATCACACAACTAGTAAATAGAAAACTGGGATTCTAATTCAAGGGGTTTGGCTTCAGAATCTGGTGTTTTTAACCACTATGTAAACTCAGCATTCTGTGTCACCAGTGCTTGACATGGGTTTTTGTTACTACATTCAAAGAAAACATACGACTTGCATTTAGAGGTTAATTGCTAATAACCCCTGTCATACATACAATACATATATATATATTTTTGATTGCTGCCAAGTTGTGGGTTCTTTTAGAATTGTTCCTCAGTTGGATTTAATTGAAAGAACAAGCAAAGGGAAGAGGTTTTAAGTCAGTGTCATTAGCAACGCTCCTTTGAGAAACCCATACTCTCAGGTTTATGTCCTAAATTTCCTCCTGTGTGCCTTTTTCTCTTAGCCCTCAAGCTTAAAAGTCTACATTAAAATATCCAACTTCAGGAGCTGGAGAGATAGATGGCTCAGAGGTTAAGAGCACTGGCTGCTCTTGCTGAGGACCCGGGTTCGATTCCCAGCACCAACATCATGGCTAACAACTGTTCACAACTTCAGTTCTAGGTCTTCTGACTTCCATTGGCATTGCATGACACGGTGTCTTTACACACATGCAGGCAATACACTCATACACATAAAAGAAACATATAAATAAAATATTAAAAAATAACTTTGCTTCAAAAAATTGTCATAGTATAACATATTTTATGTTCTTTTCTATCTTTTTTTGTTTAGTATTAGTAGAAGAAATAACTGACTAACTTGATTTAGTGGAGAAACTCTAAAATATTCTTTAGAGAACCCCTTTATTTGAGGTATATTCACATTTGCTTCTGTATTTGTTGAAGCATTCTGCCTGTGATAATTTTTTGGCAGAATGAAGATAAACTATAGTGTAATTCAGTTTCCCATTTTGTGTTCTTTAAGCAATGTTAATCAGTGTTGCAGTAAAACAAGTTAATTTTTAAATAAATAGAACTATTTAGCTATATTTAAGGGCAAAAAATCTTTATTTTGCTCATAGTTGTAGTTCTCCTGCCTAGTAAATGCCCAGAAAATATTTGTTTATGGTCTAAGTAATGAAAAATTTTAATCTATAATTGCATATATTTTTGGAAGTACTTGTTTGAAGGAAAATAAAGCAAATAAATTCTCCTAAAAACTTTTCATTTGTTTCTCCCTTACAGACCTCTAAGATCCAGCCATCAGTTCCTGAGCTTTCACTTGTGTTGGATGGCAATTTCATAGACTCAAGTAGTCCGTTGAGAATGATGGGTATTGAGAACCCTCCTTTGTTGACTAACAGTTCTGAACAGTTAAAGCCATTGCAGCTTGAGACTTGTGATGACAAATGCAGCTCAGAAGCTGACCCCGGAGAGCCTTCCTTGACAGCAGTACCAGATCAGTTCAGCCATGGTAGTGCTCCTCTGAGACAGCGTAAAGGAAAGTTACCTATCTGTAAAAAAGAGAACGCCCATTTCAGGAACAGTACTGTGAACCCATCTAACCTTAACTTGCCATCTCCTGATATCTCTGAGAAACTTCAAGCAGTTTCTGCTAGAAACATGCAAAAAGAAGACTGTCCTTTAAGATCTCCCACGTTTAATTCTAGGCAGTCCTCTCTCACTCCACAAGCCCACCCACACAATTTTGTTTTTTCCCCCCATAATTCAAGACCGATGGAACTTCAGGTACCTACTCCTTCACTGCCATCTTACTATTCCACAAATGTTTGCAGCTGTTGTCACCATCATGGCCATATTCAGTATAGTACACTAAATTCTTGGCAAGGAAATACAGTAGGATCCGTTCAAGATCTCCGATCTGAAGCCCTTCAAAAACATTCATTATTGCACTCAAGTGGATGTCCATCCCTGTGTCATAATGCCATCTACTCTTCGAGTAGTCCTATAGCGTTGAAACCTCAGGGAGGCATGGATGCCTATTCTCCCCACAACAGTGGAGAACCATTGCCTGTGGCAGGACCTTCATGTATGGACTCACACATCCCACAGCCTTGTGCCATGTGCTTGCACACACTCAACACTGCATCAGATGATGGAATGATGGGACTATCTCCTGATGCATATCGGTTTGTCACAGAGCAAGACAGACAGCTGAGACTACTTCAGGCACAGGTTTGCTTAGGTCTTTCTTAGTATTGTTAAAATCTTAATATATTTCCTTAATATTTGACAACTCTCTAAGTGATTATGTTTGATACAACTGTAGAATATTAGAATTAGAAAGACCTTAGACCCTGGATTCTAGTCTTTCTTGTTTTACAGAAAATTAAAATGAGGATTAGAGAGAGTATTTAATCTATTTCCATATTGCTGGTTAGTAGGACTAGTACTTCAGAGCAAGCCTTATCTGCACATCCTAACCTATAATACAATTTCATTTTCTTTAAACTTTTTCCTCTAATTGAAAATGCTACAATTCACCAAACCTCTAGTTTGTCAGCACTTTGATATGTATACTAATCTTACTCAGTATACTTGAAAGACCAGTTAAGAATCTCTGTATCTGCTTTTTTTGTTTTGGTTTCTTTTTTCTTTTTCTTTTTTTTCTGGTTTTTTTTTTTTTTTTTTTTTTTTTTTTTTGGTCTTTTTGAAATAGGGTTTCCCTATAGCCCCAGCTGTCCTGGAACTCACTATGTTTTAGACACGATCTTATTCAGGCTGGCCTTGAACTCATCCTCCTCCCTCTACCTACCAAGTGCTGGGATTACAGGCCTACATCATCACACTCAACTGTCTTTGTGTATCTGTATGAGACTTGTTATTCTGAAATAATCCCTTTCCTGAGGATTTTTATTGTAGGTTTCTTAATCATCTAATTATATCATTATGTAGTTTAGTCTGTAAGTATTGTGGGTTTTTGTGTGTGTGGTTTTATTGTTCTTTGTTTTCTGTCCTTTTTTCTTTATAACCATCCTTCCACAAACCCACCCCAAATCAGTTGTTTCACCTTCCAACCAATGTTAGTGGAAATAGCTTGAAATGTATACCTCATATTTTTCCTCGACTCTGTAACTAGACAAATATGTGACTGATATATAAATAATGTGCTCTTAGAAAAATCTTTGTTTTAAAGCTGTTTGAGGTCAGCCAGGCTCTAAAAGACTGTGTCTTTTTTTTTTTTTTTCCCCTTGTCCTTTTGAGACAGGGTCTCCCTGAAGCCCCAGCTGGCCTGGAACTCTGTGTAGACCAGGCTGGCCTCAAACTCAGAGATCCCAGTGCTAGGATTAAAGGTGTGTGCTACAACAGCAAGACTGTGTCTTAAAAAACAAAGCAAAGTTTATTTTATTAAATTGAATCAATAGCATTTGCATTTGCATTATTTATTTTATTTACTGGAGTTGGAGAGGTGGCTCAGCAGTTAAGAGCACTAACTGCTCCTGCAAAGGACCTGGGTTCCATTCTCAGCACCCACATGGTGACTAACAACCATCCCTAAGTCCAGGGAAATCCACTGCCTTCTTCTGACCTCCATGGGCATTGCATGACATGGGTGCACTCACATACATGCAGGCAGTGTACTCATGCACATAAAGTAAAAATATTTATGATTTTTAAATGTGCTGGGATACAAGTTTTTGTATGAGTGTTTTGCCTGTATGCATGTAAGTGCACCACATGTGTGCAGTGTTCCTGGAGATGAAAATAGTGCATCAGATCCCCTGGAACTGGAGTTACAGACCATTGTTAGCTACCATGTGGGTGCTAGGAATTGAACCCTGCTCCTGTTCCAGCTAGTGCTCTTAACTGCTGAGCCATCTCTCCAGCCCCTTCTGTCATGTTTTTTAAAAGTCCAGTGCAATCTAAAAAGATTCTTTAAGCTATTAAGAAATTGTAGCTACTTAGAATTTGTATTTTTATAGACTGTGGGTTCTCATCTAGATTATCTGAATCATTACACAGACTATGATATAGGAAAATTTTCTATGTAAATATGCAGTATTTTTCTCATGAACATTTTTTTTTTTTCTCTTTTAGGGAACTGAGTGTACTTAGTAGGGGTGGGACACGTGGGTGCATGCATTTGGAGACTAGGGGTCAGCTTTAGGTGTTGTTCCTCAGGAGCCATCCACCTTTTTGTCTTTTTATTTTTTTAATTCACTGAGAAGAAATATTTAAGATGATAGCAATTTCAGAGTAATATATGAATTGATTAAAAGTTTATATAATTGCTGGGCGTGGTAGCGTATGCCTTTAATCCCAGCACCAGGGAGGCAGAGGCAGGCAGATCTCTGTGAGTTCAAGGCCAGCCTGGTCTACATAGTGAGTTCCAGGACAGCTGGGGCTACAGGGAGACCCTGTCTCAAAAAGACCAAAAAAAAAAAAAAGTTTATATACTTGTATAACTACACAGTTGAAGGAATTCAGAAGTTACTGCTAGAAAAAGGAGTTGAAATACCTGAGGAGGATAATGAGATGGAGAATAAATATACTTTCACATTATTGATAGATAATTCACGTATCATATAATTTACCAATTTAAAGTGATCCCATGGTTCTTAGTTTTGGTCTTTTTTTTTTTTTTTTTTTTTTTTTTTTTTTTTGACAACATCTCCCTGTGGCCCCAGCTGGCTTAAAACTCATTATGTAGACCAGACTGACCTCAATCTCACAGAGATCTTCCTGCCTCTGCCTCCTGAATGCTGGGATTAAAGGCTTATGCCACCATGTCTGGCTTCAAAAAGGTTTTTGAGACATCTCTCACCAGGACTAGGGCTTACTGATTAGGCTTATCTGGCTGGTCAGTGAGCCCCAGGGGTCTGCCTGTCTCTCTGCTTCCCAGTGCTGGGACTACAAGTGCATACCACCACACCTGGCTTTTTATGTGAGTTCATGTATTTTTATATTTATTTGCATCTTTTAACTGCATATGTACCAGTATACCATAGATCCCTAGAAGTAAGTCTAAGCAATTTTTTATGACATTCATTTGTGTGTGTGTAAGTCAGAGACAAGTTGCTGGAGACAGTTCTCTCCTTCCACCCCGAGGGTCCTGGAGATTAAACTCAGGTCATCAGGCTTAGTGGCAAGCACCTTAATGCACTGAGCCATCTTGCTGGCCCCTAGAGGTAAATTGTGAAGTCAGAGGGAATGTTTATCTGAAAAGTTCAAGATACCCAGATTGGGCCTGGGTATCTCAGTGGGAGACACTCACTTTTTTTTTTTTTTTTTTTTGTCTTTTTGAAGCAAGGTCTCTCTGTAGCCCCAGCTGTCCTAGAACTCACTATGTAGACCAGGCTGTCCTTGAACTCACAGAGATCTGCCTGCCTCTGCCTCTCAAGTGCTGGGACTACAGGCATCTGCCACCACGCCCTGCTCCCACTTTTTTAGTGTAGAAAATGGTATCCAAACTTTGTTCTCTCCTCGTATTCCAAGTCTTTTGGGTATAGTGCTTAATGGAGTGGGAAAAGTAACCTCATTGATAATTATATTTGTCCCTTAAAATTAGATGAGTTAAGCACAATAGAAATAGGGAAATAGAAAATCATGGTATTTAATAAGGGAAGCTCCTCTACTCCAGTATAATATCCAAGAGAAATAAAAAATCCTTGCACATAAGCTGGTGTGGCCTCACACCCAGGAGACTGAGGCAAGAGAATCAATTTTTGGATACTAGCCTGGGCTATAGAGCTTATTTGAGGTCAGCTGGGCCTATATAGCAAGACCTTCTTTAAATAAAACCAAATTAAAGTGAAAACAAAATCCTCTGAACACAGATATCTGTAGCAACATTATGCAAAATAAGTCCAAACTATAAATAACCGAATTGCCCATCAGTTGATAATGGATAAGCACAATATAACATCTATGCAGTGGAATTCAACAGTCAAAAGCATTGATAAATACTATGGCATGGTAAAACCTTGAAAACTATGCTAAATGGAAGAAAGAAGACACAAAGGTTCGTTCTGTCTGTATGAAATGTCACAGTAAGCAAACCCAGAGAGATAGAAAGTGTATTAGTGCTTGCCAAGGGCTGGAGACAGGGTGATAAGGAATAATTGCTCAGGGATACAGAGGCTTTTGGGGTATGATGAAAATGTGGAGTGAGTAGTGATTGTGGTTCCACGTTTTGTGACTAAAACTACTGAATTAGTGGTGAATTCTGTTGGGAGGGGGGTGCACACGTGCCATGTCGAGAGAGAAGAGGTGGGAGAACAACCTTCAGGAGTTGGTTTTCACCCTCTGCAGTGTGGGTCTTGGGGATTGAACTCGGGTTGTCAGGTTTGGTGGGAAGTACTTTACCTGCTGAGCTGTCTCACCAACCCAGAGGGAAGGCCTTTTGTGTTTGAACCACAGTTCTGCTACTTGTTATGCACCCTCAACAAATAACTTTTTTTTTTTTTTTTTTTGAGGCAGGGTCTCCCTGTAGCAACAGCTGGCCTGGAACTCACTGTGTAGATCAGGCTGACCTCAATCTCAGAGATCTGTCAGCCTCTGCCTCCTGAGCTCTGGGATTAAAGGGGTGCACCACCAAGCCGGGTCCAACAAGTAACCCTTTTAATGTCTCAAATTTTCTTATCTGTAAAGAATATCCTTTTAAAATTTTAATTTATATGTATATGTATGTGTATGTGTCTCAGTGTGTCTCTGCCACATGTATGCCAGTCATCTTGGAGGCCCAAAGGAAGTGTCAGATCCCCTGTAGTAAGCAGTTGTGTGCTCTCTGGTGTGGGTGCTGGGAAGTGTACTCTGGACTTCTAGAAAAGCAGTACTTGCTCTTAACCGCTGAGCCATCTCTCCAGCCCCTGTAAAATAGATTTTAGTAGTAGTATACTTTCCATGGAGTTGTTGTAAAACACATGCATAAAATCTGTGGCATAATGTCTTGCCTGCCACTCTTGTAGCTCTTGTTTGTTACTATTTTGTTTCGGCATGGCCAAACATGAGCAATTCTTATTGAATTTTATAAAAAGAATCTTAGGTAAAATGTTCAATATTTGGTACATGGAACTCAGGGCAGGCCTCCACTTCTACTTGATTTATACGTGAAGAAGGAATAGAATTTTGATTTGACATATTCACCATTTAGATTTTTTGTTTGTTTGTTTTTGTCTTTTTTTTTGAGACAGGGTCTCTCTGTAGCCCCAGCTGCCCTGGAACTCACTATGTAGGCCAGGCTAGCCTTGAACTCACAAAGACCCGCCTGCCTCTGCCTCCCAAGTGCCGGGATTAAAGGCGTGTGCCACCATGCCCAGTCATTTAGACTTATACATAATTATCAGTTTATGAATTATGAATACTAATTAACCATTTTTATGTTTTACTTTTAAATTTCTACTTAGCTAAAAGTAAGTCTTACTAATGGTAAGGGCTTTCTACAGTGAATTGGTTTCATGATATGATTTGATTATACTGTGAGAAAATACAGTTAAATGTTAGCTCTAGTAACTATAGTACTTTGCAATTTTTTTTTTTAATTCAACTCTGCTCCCAGTTTTGCTGATTGCTTTGCTGTCAGTTTAATGTGTGTTTTTAATTGATCCAGATTCAGCGATTATTGGAAGCCCAATCTCTGAGTCCTGGCTCCCCTAAGACAACCACTGTTGAAGACCCCATGCAAACTTCAGGACAAGCAGAGCTGGTTTCTGTGGAAGCACAGTCTTCCCCTGGCTTGCATGTAAGAAAAAGTGTAAGCATTGCCGTGAGCACAGGTAACTTCATTTTTTTTTTTTTTTTCTTTTGTAAGAAATTACTTAAGTCAGGTGTGGTGGGGCACACCTTTAATCGCAGGACTTGGGAGGCAGAAGCCAGTGAATGTCTGTGAGTTCAAGGCCAGCCTGGTCTACATAGCGAGTTCCAGGCCAGCTGGGGCTACAGGGAGACCCTGCCTCAAAAAGACCGAAAAAAAAAGAAATTACTTAAATATGCATTTCACATTTGCTTTTTGAAATTGGCATTCAATACAAAAAGTGAGGAGAGTCAAAATCTTCACTTTATTATGAAATAGAGCTGCACCTTAAAAGCAGATATGAAACAGCATAACATGCAACATTGTTTTTACCATTTCTCCAGATTGGGCACAATTCCTATATATTTCTGAGCCTATTTATTATCTAAACTCTTGTGTAGAGAGGAATAATGTGGGAGCAAAGCAAGAGCCACATGTACATTTATTTTCTAAGTCAAATTTGGATACTGTTAGTACTAAAAGATCTGTGAAGCCAGGCGTGGTGGCTCAGGCCTTTAGTCCCAGAACTTGGAAGGCAGAAGGAGGTGGATCTCTGTGAATTCAAGGCCAGCCTGGTCTACATAGTGAGTTCCAGGACAGCTGGGGCTACAGGGAGATGCTGCCTTAAAAAGACTTAAAAAAAGATCTGTGATTGTAAACCACTTTAATTGTTCACTGTAACCGAGAATAAGAATGAATCTGGATACCAGGAAAAGTGTACTGCTTAGGCCTTTCTATCTGAAGTCTAATCTCACTGTTTTAGAACTTTATCTTTTCTTTTTTTTTAAATTTTTTCTTTTCTGTTTTTAAAATTTTATTTATTATTTTTATTTTGTGTGTATATTGCCTGCATGTGCCTGTAAGTGCACCTGTGTCGTGCAATGCCTGTGGAAGACAGAAGAGGCTGTCAGATTCCCTGATCCCCTGCAACTGGCGTTACAGATGGTTGTCAACTGCAGTGTGGGTTTTGGGAACTGAAGCCAGGTCCCCTGGAAGAGTGTTAAGTGCGCTTAACTGCTGAGCCACCTTTCCAACCCTCCAAATATACATTTTAAACTATGGCTGACTCAGAGCTTGCCTTAATACAAGCTAAAGTTTGTTACTGTTCTTACCATGTATGAAAATCAACTATCCCAGGTTCAAATTGCAGAGACCCTGAAGGGCCCAATTTGGATTAGGTTTTAATTGTTGGTTCAGTGATAAGGAGTGACAGTTCCCAGTGAAAGAGAGAGGCGGCAGGGGTGGGGGTGGTGTGTTGGTAGTTAAGGAGCTTGTGGATATTGTGATTTGGCTCAGTTGGTGGAGTGCTTGGCTAGTATGCTCAAAGCCCTGGATTTGATCCCCAGCACCATATAAAACTGGATGTGCTGACATACACTTATAATCTCATACTCAGGAGGTTAGAGGCAAGGGAATCAGAAATTCAAGTCATCCTTGGCTGTGTAGTAAGCTTGGGCTTTTCTTTAAAAAAAAAAAAAAAAAAGAAAAGAAAAGATAAAGTTCTAAAACAGTGAGACTAGACTTCAGATAGGAAGGTGTAGTATGCTTTTCCTGGTATCCAGATTCATTCTTATTCTCGGTTACAGCCTGGGCTATATGAGACCCTGTCTCAGTTTAATAGGAAAAAAGGTGATGAGGAGATGGCTCATTCAGTAAAATGCCTTCTATACAAACATGAAGGTTAGAATTCAGTCCCCAGCACCCTTGTGAAAAGGTATATTTTGAAATAGTTTGTTTCATCACTGTTAACAACCAATAAAGTAGGGCATGGTAATGCACACTCTTAATCCCAGCGCTTTGGAGGCGGAGGCAGGTGGACCTCTGTGAGCTCAGGGCCAGCCTGCTGTACGTAGAGAGTTCTAGGCTGGCTAGGTCAACAGGGAGACCTGTTCAAAAGACTTAAAAAGGAGGGAAGGAAGGGAAGCAAGGGAAGCAAGGTAGCTGGTGCTGTGTTGTGTGCCTTTAATCCCAGCACTCCAGAGGCAGAGGCTGGTCTGGTCTGCATAGAGGGTCCAGGATAGCTGGGCTACAGAAAGACCCTGTCTCAAAACAACAACAAAAAGTAAGGTGGGGAGTGGTAGAGAAAGACACCTGACGTCAACTTCTGGCTTCCGTATGCATGTGCACATGTGTACTCACACCTGCACACACACAACAGCTCCTCCCCCTGAAGAAAGAAAACGATGTCATGTTTTTCTATGACTTATAAAATTCTGAAGTTCCTGTATTGCAGTTCTTGTCATCTGTTACTAGACTAATTTCTTAGGCTCTAGACAGTGGTTTATTCACTATTATATCTCTTATTTACACACTGAAACTTAATATCTGCTGAAAAATAAATGCTGAATAAAGTCATTTACATCTCAACAGATTTTCTGAAATTAAGCTAAGTTTTCAAGCATGATTATGTAAAATTCAAATATTTAAAGATTTCAGCAGTTAAGAACACTGGTTGTTCTTGCAGAAGACCCTTATTTGAATCCCAGCACCCACATGACAGCTAACAACTGTCCGTAATTCCAGTCCCAGGGGATCTGACAGCCTCCTCTGACCTCCACGGGCATTGCACAACATGGGTGCACTTGCCTACATGCAGGCATTATACTCATACACATAAAAATAATAAATAAATAAAAAATTTCAGATTCACATTCAATTATTTATGTGTATAAAAAATAAAGTAATGCTGGGCATGGTGTCTCACATCTTTAATCCCAGCACTTGGGAGGCAGAGGCAGGCAGATATCTGTGAGTTCAAGGCCAGCCTGGTCTACATAGCAAGTTCCAGGTCAGCTGTCTTAAAAACACAAAATAAATAAAAAATAAAGTGCATTTTGTTTCATTTGTGTGTGGCGGTGTATGTGTGGGGTGTGTACCATAGCAAGCTTTTGGAGGTCAGAGGCTAGCTAGCAGGAGCTGCTTCTCTTCCAGCGTGGATGCTCTGGGGTCAAACTCAGGTTGTCAGGCTTCTCAAAAGTGTATTTGCCTGCTGAGCCATTTTGCTGGCCAAAAACTAATTAAGTTATTTGAACTAAGTGAATTTTAGAAGCACATTTACTGAAATACTTAGTTTTATGTAAAGGTATTGGATAGGCAGGACCTATGTAACTTTCTCCAATTATCTTTCTCTTTTTTAAAAAAGCGATTTGTTAATTTATTTTCATAAAATCAGCTTAGTAGCTCTTCAAAGTAGAAAATGAATTTCCAAGACTTGGTATGGTGTTGCATGCCTGTAATCACAGTGCTCGAGAGGCTGAAGGGGGAGGATCTTGAGTTTGCAGCCATCCTGTGCTCAAAAACAAAACAAAACAAAAAAAAACAAAAGAAAGGAAAGGAGTGAAAAACCATTTGACTTGGATTTCATTTTTGCCTTCTTCAACCCATTGTCTATAACAGAATTTCCCAAGTTTCAGAATAGGCAAAAGGTCATGGTACAAAAGGGAGTTATTGAGGGTAGTATGCAGATGAATAATATTTATTTATTAAAGAAGGAATATTATCAAACTTAAAAATATTTATTCTTTTTATTTTATGTGTATGAGTGTATTGACTGCATGTATGTTAAATGCACTAGTGTCATACAATGCTGTGGAGGTCAGAAGAGGACGTCAGATCCCCTGGATCTGGGGTTACAAATGATTATTAGTTGCCATGTGGGTGGGTGGGAACCAAAACTGGGTCCTCTGCAAGAGCAGCCAGTGCTCTTACCCAGAGAGCCATCTCTCCAGCCCTCCAGATGAATATTTGAATTTTTGTACATTTATTTATTGTGTTTTGGAAAAGGTATGACTAGTCTATTAAAAACTATGACTTTACAGAAGTGGTGAGGATAGGTAAAAATAAAATGAGTTAATTTAACAGAAAGTATAAGCAACTAGTATGTGCATAAGCTGTGAAGGTACATGCAAAAGACCCATTAAGTTAAGGAAGCACTGTTTTGTTTTTTGTTTTGTTTTTTCCTGAGACAGGGTCTCCCTGTACTCCCTGAAGCCCCAGCTGGCGTGGAGCTCATTATGTAGACCAGGGTGGCCGTGATCTCAGAGATCTGCCTGCCTCTGCCTGCCTCTACCTCCCGAATGCTGGGATTAAAGATGTGTGTCACCACATCTAGCAATATTTTTAAAAGTATATATGTGTTATATGCATGTGTACAGATGCATTTAACCATGCAGGTGTGTGCAGATGCCAGAGGCTACATGTGGCTACATGCCTTCCTTAATTGCTTCTCTATTTTTTTGTGACAGAGTATCTTATTGATCAGGAACTCCCTGTTTTTAGTAGACTGCCTGGCCAGCAAATGGATTTTTACATAGGTACTGGGAATCTAAACGCAGATCCTCATGCAAAAACTTTATGTACTGAGCCATCTCCTCAACCCCAAAGCTCTTGATTTTTCAATATCTGCTTTACAGAGTGTATGTCTGGTACATCTTTAATACAGTTTGTTAAATCTTGTACTTAGGAATCAAAACCAAAGAACCTGTGAATTTGCATTTCATGTATTTTCTTCTGGGGTATTTTTGTTTGTTTTTGTTTTGTTTGTTTTGAGAGCTCCCTAATGTGTCCCAGATTGGCCTTGAACTCGCTATGCATACCAGACTGTACTCAAACTCCTGCCTCAACCTCTTGAGTCCTGTGGTTGTAGACACGCCAACACACCTTAATTTGTATAGCACAGCCACTTCTCTTAAAGCAGACAGGACCCGGAATGTCCTCTTTCCCTTTGCCTCTGGTTTTCTATGTTCTGCCTTCCACCCACCTTTCTTTGTGGCATTTCTAAGGTAATCTAATATACTTGTCATTTTGTTAAGATCAAGTGCATGATTTTAACAAGTCTTTACATTTATTCATGTGTTTGTTTTAGTATCTAAACTCATTTAACCTCCAGGTGCTAGCTTGTTTTGGAATGCAGCAGGTGATGATGGAGAGCCTGACTCACAGGTGAAGCAAGATGATACCAAGATTTCCAGCGAAGACATGAATTTTTCTGTTGATATTAATAATGAAGTCACAAGTCCTCCAGGTAGTGCCTCTTCATTAAAAGCAGTTGATATTCCCAATTTTGAGGAGAGTAACCTTGCTGTGGAAGAACTTAATCAGCTGCTTTTTGAGTCCAAGTAAGACACCTTCCATTCAGTACTTCATCCTACCTTTATTTTCACATTGTCTTTCTTTTTTGGGAGTGCTGGAGACTGAATATATTTCATTAAATTTTTAAAAATTTATTTTTTAAAAAATACTGTATTTTTATTTTATGTGTACTATTTTTATTTATTATTATGTGTATTATTTTTATTTTATGAGTATTTTGCCTGGATGTGAGTGCTCCTGTTTCGTACAATGCGGATGAGGCCAGAAGAGGGTGACTGATCCTCTGGAACTGGTAGCCACCATGTGGTACTGGAGACTTAACCTGGTTCCTCTGAAAGAGCAGCCAGTGCTCTTAAGCACTGAGCCATCTGAGCCATCTTTCTAGCCTTCAATATATATATATATATCTTGTCTTTTGAGACAGGGTCTCCCTGTAGACCCAGCTGGCCTGAAACTCACTAGGTAGACAGGCTGGCCTTGAACTCACAGAGATCTTCCTGCCTCTGCCTCCTGAGTGTTGGAACTAAAGGCCTGCGCCACCATGCCCAACTTTTAAAAATTTTTTTAGAAAGACATGAAGTTGGAGCTGGGTGTGGTGGCACAGGCCTTTAGTCTCAGCACTTGGGAGGCAGAGGCAGGCAGATCTCTGAGTTCAAAGCCAGCTTGGTCTACATAGTTGCAGGTCAGCTGGGGCTACAGGGAGACCCTGTCTCAAAAGACCAAAAAAAGCCCAAACTTACATTTATAGGGTACTATGTGATTTTAATGTTTTTATATATATATGTATATATATATATATATGGTATAGAATAATTAAATGAGGCTTATCAAATCTTGTCATCTCACAGACTTCTGTGGTAAGAACATTTAAAATCTCTGCCATTCTGAAGTACATCACACATTACTTATTAGACTCACCATTCTGTGTATTTTTTTTCTTTTTACATGTTATTTTCTGAGAAACTTTTAAACTATATTTTCACTAATGTCTTTGCAAAATAAGGTGTCAGTGTAACTGAGAAGTTTGTATCTTCTTGAATCATGCCTATATGTCAATTGTTGGATATGTTAACAAGCTAAATCAATCACAACTTCTGAAAAAAAGCTTCATTACATGTGCTTAGGCCTTATTGTAGAAATTCTGATAATACAGGGTTCCAAGTAGCAGTGCAGATTCTTCACATGCAACTTATAAAAAAGATAGCTAAAGCCGGGCGTGGTGGCACACACCTTTAATCCCAGCACTCGGGAGGCAGAGGCAGGCGGATCTCTGTGAGTTCAAGGCCAGCCTGGTCTACATAGTGAGTCCCAGGACAGCTGGGACTACAGGGAGACCCTGCTTTTTAAAAAAAAAAAAAAAAAAAGACCCACAAAAATCAAACAACAGCTCTGTGTACATCTCCCCATCTAGATCGAGTTCCACAGGGTAGTGATCATATTCATTTCTCTATTTTTGGTACAGTGCCTAGTTACCCATGTTAGCTTATTTATCTATTTGTTTCTTTATTGAGATAGCCCAGGCTGTCTTAGAACTCAGTATATGGCACAGGCTGGCTTTGAACTCATGATCCTCCTGCCTCAGCCTCCTGAGAGTTGAGATTACAGTCATGCACCACCATGTTCAGCTCCTGTTAGCTTCTTAGTAAATGTTTACTGACATAACAGTTTGAGGGTAAGCCTCAAGTATGTACAGCATATAAACTACAGAATGTTTTCAAGTTAGAATTTTCAAAATCTCCAATCTTGATAGTTTTTGACTTCAGAAAAGCATCTAATTCGACTGATAGAATGAAGCTAATTGCTTTTTCAGATCAATTGATGAGCTGTATTGGTTCTAACATATAACTAGATATAATCTGGTCTTTTTTCAGCACAATATATTGATTCAGAATCAATATTATCTGCAAGCTAGATGTGGTGGTACATAGTTATAATCCTAGAACTTGGAATATGGAGGCTGGATGATAGCGAATTTGGGGCTGGCCTAAGCTATATAGTGAGAAGCCCGTCCTAAAAGTGTAATAATTTCCAGTGCTGTCAGTGGTGCTCTTAGTGCTTCTTGAGACTCCTCGAAGCCATGTGATCCAGTTCATGCTGTGACTCCCACTGCTGAGTATTCACATACATCACTCAGCTACCTGGGCTCCGAGTGTCTTTGGACACTCTACAGGATCAGTCTTTCAGATGATGAAGCAGTCTGTGAAAGATAGGTTGGTTTGCTATGCAGCTTAATTGATTATTGATTGCCTTTCCCAGTAGATAGTGGCATCTGTAGAGACTTTCTTTAAAAAAAATTTATTTTAAAGAGACCGTCCTTTGGATGTACTGGCACATTTGAATCATACTTTAAAATTTTGTTTTAATCTTAAATATTTTAATCTTTTGAGGTTTAAAATCTTTCATGTCAGCTTTTGTTTTTATTTGCTAGATTAGCCACCAAGATAGATGTTTTTAAATCTTTGCACACATGGTGTTACAGAGTAATTATGAGCATGAGCTCTGATACCAGGCTTCGAGGATTTGTATCATGGCAGTATGATCATGGATAGCTCTCAACACCTCTTGTTCACTGTTTTCTTATCTATAAAATGGCAATAATAGAAGTACCTATTTTATAAGATTATCTTGAGAATTAAATGAGTTTTTATATGTGAGGCAGTTAGAACAGTATATCTATAAGTCTGTAAGCTAGCATTAGTTGCTGAGAAACTATTAAAGGAGGAAGGATTTACTTTGGCCTGGAGTTTCAGAGCTTTCAGGCCGTGGCAGCTGGCCTCGTTGCTATGGGCCTTTGGTGATACTGAAAGGTCATGGCAGACAGATGTGACAGAGCAGAACTGCCCACCTCATGGCAAGTGGGAAGCAGAGGGATACAGAGAAAGCCTGAGCACTAGCTAGAAGGCTTCTGTCCCTTCTGATTTTGTTCTGCCCAGACCCCAGCCTATTAGATGGGGCCGCACACATTTTAGGCTGCTCTTCTCTCAGTTGTTACTGCACATGCCGGTTGTCACTAGAATCACCTTCACAGATACATCTAGAAGCGTGTTTTACTAATCTCCTAGGGGTCCCTCAAGCCAACTTGACAGCCAAGACTATTAGCCTTCACAGTACTTAATTACTTGAATCATTTAGCTAAAAATGAAATAAGGTAAATTTGATAACTGACATGGACTCTCCCTTATAATAAAGTACTTTGCAAATGTGTGGATTTTTTTTAAGGCAGTATGTTACCCAGGCTGGCCTGGAACTTATTTTACTATATAGACCAGGCTATCTGTAAACTAATGGTGATGTGAGCCACCATGTCTAACTTTGGGATGATAATATTTTGAAGAGCCATACAGATCTCTAAAGGCTGAATTCTGTATTTGAGAGCTCTGGCACTAAAGTAAAACAGTTTAATGTGGTGGAAGATGATCAGGCTGATGTTTGGGGTACACTGGGGGAACACAGTGGTGGATGAAGAGAAGTCACAGTTATAGTTCACCCACTGTGTATATCTGGCACTGTACTAGACTAGGGTTTCTTCAACTTTTTCATTCACGACACCCTTTTCATCTGAGGCAATTTTTTGTTAGTTTGCTTTTTGTTTTGTTTTTTGTTTTTTGAGACAGGGTCTTCCTGTAGCCCCAATGTAGACCAGGCTGACCTTGATGTGAGATCTGTCTCTGCCTTCTGAGTGCTGGGATTAAAGGTTTGTGCCATCATGCCCAGCTTGATTTTTGTTTTTTGAGACAGGGTCTTACTCTGTAGTCCTGATTGACCTGGAACCTAGAACTTACTTTGTAGACCAGATTGGTCTGGAACTCACAGAGATTGACTTACATCTGCCTCCTGAGTGCTAGGATCAAAGGCATGTGCTACCATGCCTGTGTCCGTGTCTGTGTGTGCACAAACAGAGCATTCAGTTATAAAAAGAAAAAATTTGCATATTAATTGGATGGGTATGCTTGTTTTACATAAAGAAATATTGGCTGAATATTTGATACCGTAGGAGATAGAGCATTGTCAACATTTTTAAAAATTATTTATTTAATAACCACATGATTAGAAGAAGCATTTCATTACAGCATTAACATATTCAATAACAATTTCCAGAGCAAAGATGCATCTTTTTCAAAATTGACAGTAAATTCTTAGGTTCACAGGTGAAATAATACAGTTAGACAATATTGAACTCAGTATAAACTCTATAAGACAAAATTGAATGAGGTTTTAACCTTTAAAAAAGATCTTTTTGTTGTTGTTGTTGTTGTTTTTTGTTTTTTTGTCTTTTTGAGACAGGCTCTCCTTGTAGCCCCAGCTGTCCTGGAGCTCACTCTGTAGACCAGGCTGCCTCTGCCTCCCGAGTGCTGGGATTAAAGGCGTGCGCCACCATGCCCGGCTAATGAAGAACTCTTTTTTTAAAAACTTTTATTTATTTTTATTTTACATGTATGTGTATATTGCCTGTATGTATATAAGTGCACCTATGTTGTGCAGTGCCTGTGGATGACAGAAGTGGCTATCAGATCCCCTGGCACTGGTGTTACAGACAGTTGTTAGCTGCCATGTGGGTGCTGGGATTTGAACCCAGGTTTTCTGCAAGAACAGCCAGTGTTCTTAATCGCTGAGCCATCTCTCCAGCCCCGAAGAACTCATTTTTAATGGTACTAACACTTAGATGTTTGCATATGTGTCTTTAATCTCTACGTATTTGATTATTACAAGTCACAGTGGTTACACTGGGATCCTTGGCACCTGAGTATGGATATAAGGTCATCAGGTAGATTTCAATGGTAATGTTTATCACCTTTTCTAATCAACAAGAAGCAAATTTTTATGCTTTTTCCTCAGATAGAACTCATTTTTTTAATTGATTGATGTGTGTGTGTGTGTGTGTGTGTGTGTGTGTTTCATATCCCAAACAATCTTATT